TAGATGTCTGGTATACAGTACTCAAGGTCAGTTGTCTTGTATACATTACTCAAAGTCAGATGTGATGTCTGGTATACAGTACTCAAGGTCAGTTGTAGATGTCTGGTATACAGAACTCAAGGACAGCTGTAGATGTCTGGTATACAGTACTCAAGGTCAGTTGTAGATGTCTGGTATATAGGACTCAAGGTCAGCTGTATTTAATTGATAACGGTGAAGTATCAAACTTCTAGATCCTCCTCACCATTTTGATGACCTGGTAAAGATGACCTATCAGAGGAAGGATTCCCTCCGGGGCAGGTATCCCCGTCCTTCTCTGGTAATCCTCCGCTTCTCGACGCCGCAGCCTGGGGAATCAAAAGAAGTCTAAATAAAAAGCTAATTAATATAAAATAGCAAAATAGTTGGGAGGGGGTGGGTGTGGGTGGGTGGGGGTGTTAAATTAATATTCTGTTTGCCACTGATCTCCTTCCAATACTTAATATAATGAAATATGCTTTTCTTTAGATGTGATAGGACTGCATGCATTATTTTCATATGTATATTTGTAATACACTTAATTTTTTTATACTGTTTTTGCAAATATTGGCAAGCTTGTGTCACTTTTTAGCAATATCATAATCATAACAATATCATATGAAAAATAAATATACAGTAAATTTTATAAGTTGTACTCAGGCCTTATATAATTAGTTCTATTTGTATTAAATAGTCCATGTCCTGTTACTAATATGCATGGAATAAAAAAAAAGAAATAATTAAGTATAAATGATGTTCTGCATGCAGTAAATGTACATATATTTTTAATCAATCCTGTTTTTTTAAATTAATGTGCAATTATGTAATACATGTACATAAAATACTTGTTCATGTTATACTTTATTTAAACAGGGTGACCAGATTTGTGCAATGCACTTAGCTTGTTCATGTAGTTTGGAATTTTCCTTATTACAAAAATATCAATAACATCAGTCTACTGTAAACTAAGTTTGACAACAAGCAAATATCACTGTTTTTACAAATCTTAAACAGATTTATATGAAACAACTTATGATATTTCTGAAAAAATTCAGATATTTATTTAAGCAATGAACATGAAATATACAAACTGTAATATTTATTCAATTATAATACATACATGAATTATTGATACATGTCAGTTTTACACTATTGTTTGGACTCAGAATATAGCAATTCTAATAACTCGTCTATTCTAGACTAATCAAATATTAGGCTGATAAATTGATTGTTTTTCATAAATCAAGACACATTGTGATATATTTTATAGATTCATTTTATTCAAAGTGAGTTAATTGTTTAATTTTAAAAGTTCTTAATTTCTATGGAAAATTAGAAATAGGCTTAGATACAATGATATTTTAGGGTTTACTGAACTTAATATATTACATGAAATAAGAATAATTCTAAGCAGTATATATATTGATTATGTCTTCTTTTAATGCAGTATATCAGTTTTGAGATCAAGTATACACATTATATTATTCAAGACATGGAGAAATCCAAGTACCTAGATCATGACTTCACATATCTACTTGCATATTTGATAACGTGACAATCCATCAGACCTTACTACAGCTGCAGGCTACAAAATACAGCAATCCTAGAATCTCTAGGACAACTTTCCTCTGTCATATCTAATTCAATACGTCTTACCATAACAAAAGAAAAACGACGACAACAATCCCAGCCAATGACAATGCCCAAGAATCCAACAAACAGCAGAGATGTAGGTCCATTCAGATGGTTAGTATACTAGTGCTGAATTAGTGACTTTTGGCTTTGGCCTACTTTCACTTTCAGCTATGGCACGCCGAATGCGTCAAGAGCACTTTCAAAGTATAGATATAGCTAGATTTTTACGCTTCAAAAATATTTCGAGATGTGAAATTTTATATTTATAAAAGATATAAAATTACAAATTTTAAAACTTCCAAAAATATCATCGATCGAGAAATAAGTTTTGTTGATTTTATATTTAATTCTGGCTAGGAGACTACATTGTCCGAAAAAAAATATATTGACAGGAGAGCTCTGTAAAGTGCCAGCAATTGAAAAAAACTGTATATTTTTTGCTCACAAAAATTTGCGCTTGATCCTGGATTAATTCTTCCAAATTCTTACTACGAAAAGCTAACTTTTACTTAATTTTCTATCAAAATTAATACTCTCCGACTCGCAGTTGACACCTGCACGGAGCGCATTATCTAGACCGAATTATCATGCAAACCAAAATGGCAGTATTTTATATTAAAAAAAAAAAAAAAATAAAAAAGACGAAATTTTCGATCATCTCAATTCCAGGGTCAGGAGGGCTATCAACAACAATTATAAAAATGTTTTGTTGTGAAAGCAGTGAAAGAATATATAAGGATCACACGGTCAGTAATTTTTTTTTAGGTGACAGTTTGAAGAACATGGAGAATAGAATCGAGAAACAGTGCACTTTGTTGTGCGCAATAAATATACAGTTTTTTCAACGGGTGGCACTGCAGCTCTCCGGTCTGTCAAATATATTTTTTTTTTCCCGGAGATCTGCAGTTCTGCAGCGAAACTGAGTAGAATGTATAACTAGCTGTTGTTAATCTAAAACTAGGCCTAGCTGAAAAAAGTCATTCAATATTAGGGCCCGACTTACAAAGACCATTGTGTTGTCCCACTTGAATTCAAAAGTATTGTTTTTCTTTTGCAAACATTTCTTGACTATTTGGACTCTACATTTTTATTATTTTTTTTTAATATAATTTTAATGCCTCATTGCGTTGGGCTGCATATGCACTTGCAATAAAATTAAGGAGTTCAGGCGTGAAATCACAATTTAACAAAGCAAATACTGACTTTATACAAACTTACTTTTGGTTGAAGTGGATAAAAAAATAAAATTTCTTTTATAGGACAGTCTTATTCCGTTAACAGAGGCATACAATAAGGGGATTGTTATTCTGATTTAAACTCGCTGCTATTTGATCATATCCAAACGACAGATAAATTTTTATGTTGTTCTCCGTTTTTTTTATTTCAGCCTTGTGTCTTTACTAAATATTCAATAATTTTCCCCATGTTTGCGTATTCTTTGCCTTTGTGGATACTAAACGTGTTAGACATTGCTTGTATCACCACCGGGGACACCTGTCAGGTGTTTTGGAGATAGGTGCTGCAACTGCTACCAAATATATTCTGTCAAGGAATAACGTCAATTAATGAAGAATCGGTTAAACAGTCACACAATGAAAAATGTTTTCTTTTTCTCTATAATAAAAAACAGATCGAACCTAAGCAGTACGAAGCCTCCTGGTCTAAGGAAATAAGGATACCACATGTCTTCCATTTTGCTGGATGTGCATACATCTGCTGTGGAAACACTTATAGACAACTGCAGCTAAAATACTCGTACTATTTTTTTCGTCTTTATCTTACCACAGCAACTTCATACAACACAAAACAACTTACCAATCACAAGGGAAGTTTGTTCATTTGTGTCCCCATGACTAATGGAATGAGTGGATTGCGTGATAATAATTATCACGCATTCCAATCGATTGATCATCGTCATGAAACCAAAAAAATCTACGGTTATTCCTTATAGTTACATGCTCTTGATTCTGCCATCCACGTGCTCTAAGCCCCGCTTCTGTCTCTATGAGTGTATTCGATTAAGACAACCTGTGTCGCACTAGTGTTAAATATGCGCATGCTCATTGATTGAACTCTAGTGATCTAAATAAAACATCTCGTGTTGTTTAGTGTTTTTATATTCTCCCTCACTTCGTTCGTCCGAATATAAATTAATTATACTCTTTATTCTGTATTGAAAGAATAATCAACTCATATGTATGGAATGCTGCTCGTCAGAACGTTTATTACAATTCTAACACATTTGTATTTATTTCAACACCCATTATTTTTAATCATTAAATAATATTGATAAATACATACATTTATAATTCTGTATTGAAAGAATAATCAACTCATATGTATGGAATGCTGCTCGTCAGAACGTAGAACAATCAAAGAGAAAAAAAAATAATAATACCTGTCTACACACACACACTATATATATATGCATATATATTTATTAATATATATTCATTTATATTTACACGAAAAGACTATTAGACACTTTCAATTTGTTATCTATACAATCCTTAATATAATTGTCTCTGGAATAGTCAGATTTCCAATGTCCATGTATTTTGATCAGACGCTCCGACACATTTTTCTCGGATGCAGTTGTTGCCCCTCCACTTCGCAGACTGTGCAAACCAAAGCCTTTTGAATCTATTCCCACTTTTCCAAAGCTTCTAACAATAACTCTCGGGCTCTTGTATATGAAATCGGCTTGTTAATACCGCACAACATATATTTTCCACATGACTTGTAAAATCTAATTGCTCTGAATACATATTCCTCTGGTTTATCCTGAATTTCAGCTAGATTTAAATAATGCTTAATCCAAGATACAGGACACAGCTTCCCTCCTGCCTCTGCCAATGTCACTTCGTTACCACGCCTGTATACGTCAGTTTTGCTGGATTCGATGCAAACATTCATGTATAAATTCTTGAAAATTATATTTTTCACTTTAATATTAGATAATTCACTAAATCGCAAAAAACCTGCGAAACTCAACAACAACATAGCCACTGCTCTTACACTTCGTAAATCACAATTTTGCTCCCGTTCCCCATATACATTTATAATCTTCTCTAACACATCTGGCAAAATTGGCTCCTTCTTCTTTATGGGCTTTGATAAAATTCGTTTCCCCCCCCTCCATTAAACTATGAATAACACTGTCGTCACAAGGATTAGAAACGCACAATGAAGATCATGATACCACTTTATACTATAGAAAAATGAACACAGAACTGCTTCAGAAACTCCTTGTTGAATTAATCCACTTAAGAAAATGGCAATCACACTAGATTTTGCGGGAAAACTTGCGACATCTTTAGAAATACACCACTGCTAATATTTCTTGAAATACGTTTCATACTGCTTGACTGTGTTTTTACTTTTTGCACTTTTCATGATGTGGAATATTGATGAATCTGCTGATTTAAACTGCTCTTTCGTTGACATGCCTTTAATTTCAGCCCAAGTGTTATTAAAAATCTGTAATAAACAGCAAAAATATAACAACACACACACTTGCATATTTAAACTGCTATTATTATATTTTTCTGAAATCAATTCTAACAACCAAAACGTTGCTCAAAAACATATCTTGGATATCAACTTGTCTGATCCTGACATAAAAAATTTTCTTGGGTTCTTATATTCAACATATTTCTTTTATATAAGATTTGTAAGATGTTGTTCTTTTATACCATATCATTGGCCAAAATAAAGAAGACAACCATTTAGGAATGATTAAAGTTCCATATGCATAACACAAACGCATATGTTTTATCACTTTGCCTATCAGGAAAGGAGGAGGTACTATCCAACAATTTTCACCTGACCAATCATAAGCGAAAACGTCATTTCCTGTAGTGCCTGGATTCCAATATTTCGAATAAAACGTTTTAACTTTGTTACTCTTACAATTTGCAAAAAGGTCAATTGTAAAAGAACCCAATATCCTATCAAAATATCGGAAAATGTGATCAGACACACTCCAGTAATCACTGTCAAACATGCGACTGTAACTATCTGCACCCATGTTGTATTCTCTTGGTATCCACTGTACTTCAAGTAAAATACTGTATTGCACACAGACACCAAATATACTCAATGCCAGCTGATGCAGCTCGTCAACCATACTACCTTTACATGCGATGCGCACGACATTTTGATTATCTGTAAATATTTTCACAAACCTTCCACTCAACACATCTGCCAGACTTGTTAAAATTATTTGTACTGACTTTAATTCTCTCCAAGTTGAACTTTTACTTTTTTCACACTGATCCCACATGTAATGAACTATTTTCTTATTCCTTTCACATGTAAACCCTGCGCCTGCATGAGAACTTGCATCCGAAAAAATAATTTTCTCTGGTGTCTTATCAATACATGTAAAATATTTGCAAGGGAGCTTACTGATATTGTAATGCCAAAACTCCAACTCTTGAATATTCCCATTGTCTATATACAAAATTTCATCCCAGCCAGTTTTAGAGCAAATTGTAATACTGAGACGTCTAGTCATTAACTGACATATATTTCCCAAAGATGGTTTTAATGCGATAATTTTTCCCACAACAGAAGATAATTTTCTCGCCGAAATATTGTTTTTATTCTCTAAAAGTTCTTTTAATAAAGATTTAATATTACTAATTTTTTCCAAAGGAACTTCTAGCGTCCCGCTTTTCAAATTCCACAAAAACCCTAACCACGCCATACTCTGAGTAGGCTCAAGTACTGACTTCTCAGTATTTATAACAAAACCTGATCTCTGTAACGTGTCTTGTATTATGTCTGATGCAGACTTGCAATTCTCGTACGTATCACAAACCCAACCATCGTCCAAGTATACTACCACAGGTATACCACATGATCTCCAATATTTCACTAAAACTCTCACTACTTTTGTAAAAACATGCCCTGCTGAAGATAAACCAAAAGGTAACACATTAAATTCGAAAAATCTGAATTTGTCACCATATTTCCAAGAAAAACCTAAATATTTGTGAAAATCTGGATGTATATCAATATGGTGATAACCTGATTTTAAATCAAACTTAATCATGTGCATTCCCTGTTTTGCATATTGTAAAGCCTCACTCACCCCTTCAAACTTCACCTTTTGTTTTTCTACAAATTGATTTACATGTCGAAGATCTAACACCAACCTTTTCTTACCTGTGCTGTTCACTGGAACAGTAAGTGGATTAACAACATGTATTTTTTCTTCAGATATTTC